AGTGTGACTGCTTCTTACTACCCCTTGTTGCCTAGTGTAGCCGTGTCTAGTTCTGCCTCCCCTGCTGCGTCAGGCATAGGATCCCCTGCTTTGTTTAGCCTTGGATCTTCTGTCACTGCTCCGACTCCGGCCGCCGCTGCTGCGCTCTCCTTGGACTCTGGCGCGTCTTGGTGTTTCTTTCGCGACTCCACTACGCTGACGCCGCTTCCTGCTCCTGCTGCAGTTTCTCTTGCTGACCTCTCCTCCGGCCTGGTAGTCGCCCGCAGTTCCACCACCCTTCCCTGTCCTGCGGTTCCTTCGGGCTCTCTTACAGGCCTGCACATCCCCTCGTTCTCCAGGAACCTAGTTGGTGTTGGCTGCCTCCAGGACCTTAGCGTCACCACTACCCTGGTCACGAGCGGTACGGTGTCTGTACCGAGGCCGCCACTAGTGCTCCCCTCACCACGTTCCCCCGGGACCCAGTGTCTGGACTGTTCACACTGGACACCGCGACCCCCCTGGTTGGGACGTCCCCTCAGGTGGTTGCATCTACCCAGGTTGCTGCTGCCTACTCCTGTCGGTCGCTCACTCACCCGACACTCCTGGGGCACCACCGTCTAGGTCACCCTGCACTCCCGCATCTGCGTCACATATGATAGCACGGTCTTGTCCTAGGTCTCCCACGGTCGTTCCCCGAGTTGCCCTCCTCCCCAGCACCACCGTGCACGCCCTGTGTCGAGGGCCGCCTCCTCCATGCCCCTCACTCCTCTTCGTTTCCCCCTACCACCGCACCGCTACAGACCCTGCACATGGACGTCTGGGGCCCCACCCGCATCCATGGGCCGCGTCGTGAGCGCTACTTCCTAGTGCTTGTCGACGACTACACGCGCTACACCACCGTGTTCCCCCTGGAGCGGAAGGCCGCCGTGCCTGACGTTCTTATCCCGTGGCTTGTCTCTGCGCGTGTCCACCGCGGTCTCCCTGTCTTGTGTCTCCACCTTGACCGTGGTGGCGAGTTTGCCTTTGGTGTCCTTGGTCGTTTCTGTCGTACGGAGGGCATCACCCACACGTTCACCTTGCCGGACTCCCCGCAGCAGAATGGGGTCGGTGAGCGACGCATCGGTTTGGTCATGGAGGTGGCTCGCACCTCCATGGTCCATGCCGGTGCACCCCATTTTCTGTGGCCGTTCGCCGTTCGCTACGCCGCTCACCAGCTTAACCTGTGGCTGCACCCTCAGCAGCCGCGGGTTTCGCCGACCCTTCTTTGGTCCGGATCTCTTGGTGACGCGTCTGTGTTCCACGTCTGGGGCTGCCTTGCGCACGTTCGTGCCTCTGGCACGGACAAGCTCACTGCCTGCACCCTCCCTTGTGTCTTCCTCGGTTTCCCCCTTGAAGCGCTCGACTGGCACTTCTGCCACCCGCCGTCTCACCGGTTCTTTCACTCCCGTGACGTCACCTTTGACGAGCGTGTCTCCTTCTACCGCCGCTTCCCCCACAGAGGTCCCCAGGTTACTCCCCCCCTGTTCCTGGTCACCCCTTCCCCGCTCTTGCCCCTGTCCCCCCTCCCCCTCCCCATCCTGCACCGCCTGGTGTGTCCCACGTCACCCCCCTCACGTCGGTTGTCCCGGTCGAGGAGTCTGCTGACTCTGGTGGTCCTGCGGCATAGTCCTCGCCGCCTGCCCCTCCCCAGGTATCTCCTCTGTCGCCTTCGCAGCCGCCGTCGCCACCGCTGTCTCAGCCACCGTCACAGCCGCCGCCGCCGCCGCCGCCGCCGCCGTAGCCGTCGTTGCAGCCGCCGCCGTCGCCGCAGCCGTTGCCGCAGCCATCGCAGCAGCAGTTCGTTGACTCTGGGGGTGCTTTCGTTGGGGTGGGTACTAGTCCTGGGGTTCCTGTCGTGGCTTGTCTCGGCAGGCCTGGGGGTGGTACCGGTGCTCGAGGGGTTTCGGGTTCTGGGGGTGTTCCTTATGGGGGTGCTGGAGTGGAGTGTTCCGGAGGTAGCCGTGGAGCAGCTTGCGGTCCCGGAGTCGGTGCAGTGCCGCCGCAGCAGCAGTCGCCGCCGGTGTCAGCCCTTCGCCTGCTCGGCCTTCCGTCCCCTGACCCTGTGCTTGCGACTCTCCTACCGTCTCCTCCTCTCTCTGTCTACGGCGCTGTGTTTCCTCCCCCGGACTCGACTCCGGCTCGTCTTCCCCCTCGTTCCCCTCCTGTGTCCCCTCCTCCGTCTCCTGACCCGACTCCTCCGTCTCATGTCTGGTCTCGCCGTCCCTCCTGTGCTCGCCCTGTCTCCCCTGTCCTGCGCTCTCACCCTATGTTGTTTCGTTCCCATGCGTCTCGTCTTCCCCTCCTCCCGTCGCCTCCTCCGTCCTCCCTTCTTGTTGCGCCTCCCCCTCTGTCTGACTACCTTTGTGCCGCTCATCCTCTTGTTCGTCGGGTCCTTGCCTCTCTTGTTACTGACCCGTCTGTTCCGCTTTCGCGTCTTGACACTCTTGTCGCTGCGGTCGCTGACTTCGCCTCTACCCGGCGCCTTGACTACGCCACCGCTCTGGTTTGCGACCCTGCCTGTCCTCCGTCTGTCAGGGGTGCTTCTGCCCTTGGCAGTGACGTCCTGGAGGACCGCCAGTACGAGCTTGCTTTCCTTTCCGAGGCTGCTCCCCATCTCTGTTCCATGCTGCTAGTCCCTGAGGGTGACCCAGACTCTTTCGACATCCCGGCCCCTCGCACTTACACTGAGGCGGTCTCGGGACCTTGGGCGTCTCAGTGGATAGCTGCCATGGAGCAGGAGATGGCATCTTGGAGATCCACTGGCACCTACGTCGACGCAGTTCCCCCACCTGGGGTGAACGTAGTCGATGGTCGCTGGCTCTTCAAGGTGAAGCGCCCTCCTGGAGAGCCGCCTGTGTTCAAGGCACGCTACGTGGCTAGAGGCTTCAGTCAGCGTAAGGGGGTGGACTTCTTTCAGACTTTCGCTCCGACCCCGAAGATGACTACTCTTCGGGTGCTACTGCACGTAGCAGCTCTGCGTGACTACGAGCTTCACTCCCTCGACTTCTCCACTGCGGTTCTTCAGGGCAGTCTACACGAGCAGGTCTACCTGCGCCGCCCTCAGGGTTTCACTGGTACCTTTCCTCCTGGGACTCAGTGGCTCCTGCGGCGCCCCGTCTACGGTCTACGACAGGCTCCCCGTGAGTGGCACGACACGCTGCGTGCTACCGTTGCTGACCTGCAGTTCTTTCCGTCCTCTGCAGGCCCCTCGCTCTTCGTTCGTGCTGGCCAGTCTCCGTTCTACTTCCTTGTTTACGTAGACGACCTGGTCTTCGCCACTGCCGACAGGGACGCACTGGCCTCGGTGAAGGTAGAGCTGCTGAAGAGACACACCTGCACTGACCTAGGAGAGCTGCGCCATTACCTTGGCTTGCATATCTCCAGGGACAGAGCAGCGCGCACCATCACCCTCACTCAGTGACACTTGGTGTGCCAGTTCCTTCAGAGGTTCGGTCTTCAGTTCTCCTCCGCACAGCCCACCCCTCTGCCTGTAGACCACAGGCTCTCTGCTCCAGTTCCTGAGGAGTCAGTAGAGCTCAGTGGTCCTTACGCAGAGCTGGTGGGTTGCCTCATGTACCTGATGACATGCACTCGTCCAGATCTCGCATACCCTCTCAGCATCTTGGCTTGCTTTGTGGCCACAGGCAGACACCGACCTCAGCACTGGTCTGCTGCTAAGAGGGTTTTGCGCTATCTTGCAAGTACATCAAGCATGGGGTTAGTGCTAGGAGGGCGCAGGCCAGTGGTCCTTGCGGGGCATACAGACGCTTCTCGCAGAGCTAATGCTTTAGCCTTGGTTCAGGTGCTGTCTCGTGGCGAGCTACTCGCTCCTCGTCTGTTGCCCAGTCCAGCTGTGAGGCCGAGATCTACGCCGGTGCCATGGCGGCACAGGAGCTCCGCTGGCTGACCTTCTTGCTCACCGACTTAGGTGAGCGGCCTAGCTCCGCCCCAGTCCTGTACGTTGACAACAGGGCCATGATCCTCCCGTGTCAGGAGCCTCGACTTGAGGGCAGAGCGAAGCACATCCAGCTGCGGTACTTCCTCCTGCGTGAGCTACAGCAGCGTCGCCAGGCCCGCGTAGTACACTTGGCCTCCGGTGCCAACACAGCTGATATCTTTACGAAGGCGCTTGCGCCTAAAGATCATCAGCGGCACTGTGTACAGCTAGGTCTTGTTCCTGTTGCCTCTCACCTGCTAGGGCCTTGATTGTGTATAAACCTCTATATATATGTGTTACGTGGCCCTTTCCAGTGGTTGGACAAGTAGTGCCTCCTTGGTCTTGTTCTTGTTGTGTCTGTACTCCTTTAACTGGTCTTTTTGACCCTTGCCTCAGAAGCTGGACTAGTAGTGCCGCCCTAAGCTTCTTGTTGTCTTGTTAGGCACTGCCCCTATATCGTCTAGGGGGTGTGTCAAACATATCTAAGTATGTTAGTATAGACAAAATTGGTTTGTGTTGTAGAGGGTACAACACTCTAGGCTATATATCCATGTACACTCTCTTTCTAGTCATTATTCTGTTCTAAGACAACCTGTGTCTGACCGCCAAGAAAACAAATTCAGGGTCGTATTTCGGTATCAAGCCAGATGCAGGGCCTCAGATGCACAATGTGAAGCCCTGTTTCGCCCCTCCCTTTTGATTTTCGTGACCAAGTTCGTGGCGGGCAAGTTAGGTAATTCGCCAGCTCAGACACGTCAGTTACATCCGGCAATTTCGCACATAAACCAGCCCAACTTCTCGCACTACCTAACCTGGCGAGTCAACGCACGGAATATGGAAAGCTCGCAGTGGATTCCGTATTCCGCATTCCGTATTCTGGAATAACAACTTACCGATCAGGGCCTAATCTAAGCTTGAAATCGCAACATTACGTAACTTCGTGGCAAGTTTCCTGCCACAAGGGACGAATTTGCCCTAACTCGGTCACTGTTATCAATGCAAATGAGCGGAATCATGACGACATTAGCGAATGGGAAGTAGCCACAAGCTTTATTTGCTTGACTAAGAATTACAATGTACATGATAAACTGGGTGCGTTATCTGCTTGATGTAATTAGATACTACCAGTGAGCTGGAGCAGCCAGCCCGCTTCGCGGCTTTCCTTGAACAGGGGTCACATACGGAAAACTAACACAGCAGCTAGCGGTGGACATCCAGGTTGGGAATACTAGGTGGGGACTGTGGTCCTTCCTGAGCACCTTCACAGTGAAAACGCCGGCCTTGAACATCCCTAAGCCCGAGCCGCTGTGGAGGCTGCGATTTTGAGGATTATCAGTCGGAGAGAAAACCGGACAGCTGCGGTTGCAGATTCCAGTGGCGAAGTTCCGCGTTGGGAAAATTAATGACCCCTTGAGCCTGCCAATAAGGGGCGAAAATGGAATTGGCGCTCAGGCTATCATAGGAGCGTGGGCGCTAACATGAGGTCGTGTAGCCGATGCCCGATGATAGAACGGTCGGGAAAGCGGATGCGAACGTGGCACATCCACTCCCAATCTCGCCGCCACGTCAGCAAACGAGCTGACGTCGGATTTCCACAGCAACGCGCCGCCGCATCCAGCCGCCTTCGCTCCGCCAATGTCGTTCTTCCTGCTGTCGCCCACGTGGACGACTTCGTCGGGCCGCACGTTTAGCATGTCACATGCGGCGTGGAAAATTTCCGGACTCGGTTTTTCTGCCCGCACTTCTGCCGAAACGGCGACCGCGTCGAAACAATTCAAGCAGCCCAGCGACTCGAGAACGGACCGCAACCGCGAGTCGAAGTTGGAAACCACCGCGACTTTGATTCCCGCGCGGCGAATTGCGGCGAAGGCTTCGTGAGCGTGGGGGTCGGACAATCTCCACGCAGAGTTCGTCGCATAGTAGCCATGCAACTCCTCCGTGTAGCTGGGATTAGAGCAACCGGTTGACTCCGATATAACGTGATGCCAAAAGGGTAAAGCTTCCCCTTCGTATCGAAGCGCCCCCCGCCACGGTTTACTGTACGCGGTTTGGTATCGCCGCAGAATCTCCTCTGCTGATAACGAGACGCCGTATTTCTGGCCGACGGATTCGTACACCTTATGCTCCTGCTCCGATGTCTCGATAAGAGTGCCCATCGCGTCGACGAGCAGCGCGCGCGGCTGAAACGCCTTCGACTGCCGTTGACAGAGCCATTCCCTGGGCCACTGCGGCTGGTGCTGCCCGTCGAGCGCGCCGAGCTCGTACTGCTGCTGCTGCAGGTTACTCTCCTTAAAGAGCACCGACCAGCAAGGGATGGGAAGAGTCGGAGAACTTGCGCCGTCAGAATCAACAGGAAAACTCGTCGCTAGTTCCGGCGGCAGATGCAGATTAGCCCCGTCCTCGCCGCGTAGCCAGAAGCGCTGATGCGGATTAAATGCGTCCTCGTGAAACGGGAGCAACTCGGGAGGGTCGCCTATGCGAGGTTTAGGCGAGAGTGGCAGGAACGGCTGCGGTCGAATGGCGAACTCTTGTCCCGACGGGCTTATATCGGGAGGTGGACCTGCAGCGGGAGCTTGCGAACGGCGTCGTTTAGGTGTGATGCTGCTAGCTTGGACTTCAGTGTCGTTTGTACTAGGTATTGACGAGTGATTGTGCTGCTGGATGCGGGTTACGAGGGTGGAAGCGGAGCGAAGGACGTTAGTGGCGACAGCAGCCTGGGCTATTCGCGACGCGAGGAGCGGCAAAACTTTGTGAGCCACGACTCCAGCCATGGCTGATCGGGGAGTAGGTACTAAAGAAGTACTTTGTAAGCTGGCGATTGAATTAACTGAAAGGACGGGGAAAGGATGAGCACCAAAGCTGTTTTCCGTTGGCTCTTTCACGCGCGAAAAGGCAGGGAAGAGGATAAGACGGGCTTATGCTTCAGCAGGTTCTGAAAATGGCTGTTTTCCTGGAGAAAGGTGGACAAGATCGATGATGTTGTGAGCTTGCTGATCGATGGCTGTATGAATATCTCGGAGGCTGTTACTCTTGTCGCTGGTGTAGGAGGGGAAGGTTGAAGGAAAAGTCTGCGACAAATTTGTTCGTTGCTGGCGTTGGAAAATTGGGAGGTCTATTGTGCTGCGAACATTTCTTCAGAGAATGCGATGAACGAGATTTTGTGCGACATTTATTTTATCCAGGCGCGCCGCACTCCTTCCACGTGATGGAGCCAACCGAATCGCTCCGCATTGATCGGCTCATCCCCATCACCCAGAGAAGCTTTGCACACAAGATGGACGTCAGCGCCCGGGCGCGTCCTGCGCAAGCTTCACAAGGCGAGGCCCTGTCAGGATCCAGTCATCGTTTCATGGCCAGATGCATTTTGCGGTCAGCGTGGCCAATCGGTGTTCCGCAGTCCACGGTGGCTGCTTTGGCGAGTGAGAAAACTGACCAGTCAGCGGTTGAGGCATGTCGGCGCCCGTGTCAAATTGCCTTGCTGTCGTGGCAGCGGTGCGCCTGAAGCTGAGGGGAGAGGGAGCACCACCGCAAACGAAACGACGACCTGTGGTGTTTTCCAGCGATTGGCAACAGAAACGGATGCTTTTATGTAAGCCTCTCAGTTAAAAGCCGCACTCACATAATAGGGACTAATTCTTACCAAAAATTTGTTTCACACTCTACGTGTGAAGCAAAGCGTGATTGCACGCATGCCTGGAGTTTGTTGCTTTTCCCTCCTTGATCCGACGTCAGATTGATGCTGTCTGTTGATCCGGATTGGCACTGTCGGCAACAAGTTGAAGCATGCTTCCCAGCTCAGCGCGCGCGAACACAACGGCTGCACATGAGCCATCAAGCTGTCCGCCAAACGCACTGTTGTCGCTTCATTGGGGCGCGTCTTCGCACTGGTCCAGGGGGAACAAACAGACCAACACTGCGAGGTGAGGCACGGACCTACCACCAGTGCACCGCCCAGATGTGGCCGCTACCTTACGACATCTGAACCTGATTGGAGGCACGTGCCTGGCTGGGCATCACATTGTACTGTACAGGAGTGACGTGGTGACAGTGCACGTCTGCGACAGGAGGCTCAGGCACATTTCTGGGACCCACTCGAACTGAGTGGATGTGGTCACGTTATCCCAATCAGAAATGCATGTGATAAGATACACTGTATATTTGCAAAACATACGATACTACCATGTGGAGCATACATTTGTATTTAAACTCGCTCCATGATTAAGCGCTCATCGGATTCATATTTATTTATCAGCTTTTACAGGTTTTTAAATTCAGTTAACGTATACTTCTCATCCAATCATGTAGATGAGCTGAGTTGCTTATAAAATGGCGATACTGTTATACGTTAGATGCATAGTTTCATGTCAGAGCCATTTCTGGTGAAATGCTGGATCCATCTGCAGCGATGCTTTCCAGCCCACCACGTCAGTCCCCAGTCCATCTCCATCATCTGTGGCTGTCCATCTCCACTGTCCGTGTGGCACCAGCGAAGCATGACGTGCCCGAGTCACAAAACAGCCTCTAACATCCACATCACATGATGAGTGCCCCAGGAAGTGGGGACCTCGTCACAGACCTTCGGGATACTCGAACCGCATGTGCTTTCAACCCCACCAGCCATAAGGGGAACTTCCGTCATCCCCAGACTTCCGCCAAACCATGGCTCATGAATAAGGTTTTGCACAGAATAAACTGACGGCCAGCATTAGGTCTGGCGGCCACTCGCAGCTGTTCGGACGGAACGAACCAGCCGTATGACGTCACCTGTCGGTTTGTCATGCATTCTCCTGGCGCAACTCAATTCTAGCAGCTTTTCAGTTCAATCACACAGCAAAGGCCTGATTTCCCGTTGCGTTCCGTCTTGCGGTCTTGAATGAATAACAATTTCAGCGCCCGAATTGGGGGCAGGTCTCGTAGTTTCTTACACCTAGCCCGCAGTAATTTCACACCTGAAATTGGGCGTCAATATAATTTTTTGTTTCCACCCTGACCATTTCTGTGTGCGTAGACATTATTCCCTTGTTCCTACGGCCTAAGCGCGGCAGACTCCACGCGGACAAAAACTTTGAGCACTGCCAAAGCTGACGTCGGATTTCCTGACCCGAGAAACACTCAATCGAGAAGTAAACATTTCGTATAGAATTCCAACCTAAATTTGTTTTTCAAGGGTATCCGGATCTGGTCTTCAGGAGCTGCTTTCGGGGTGTGAATACCCTCTCGGCATCACCCCCTGCGAAAATAGTGGGTGTGAAAATACCGTAGGCGAAGTGTATTTTTCCCCCGAATCTGATTTTTTTGCGCACTGATGCGTGCGGGCAACGTCTTCCCTTCCGCCAGCATCCTCTCTTCATTTTCCACCTCCGTTCTCTCCTTCGCCTCAGTCTCACTTTTCTCGTCTCAGGCTAGAACAAGCCACACAGCTTAGATTATGAACTAGAACCACCAAACAAGCCTCACTGCACTAGAACTGCTTATGCATTCGTCGACTGTTTTGTAAAATATTGCATCTTGTGCGCCCCTTTCCCGTGTCTCCTCTCATCAACTGTTAGCCACCTCTTACCAGTTCCGTGACTTGGTTGACTCTGTTACTAGATTGCGAGGTACCAGCGCGCTGCAAACTTCCGTTTCGCTCAGTAAAAGCCGAGTTGAAGGCTGTTTCGTCTAAAGGCAGCTGCTCAGGATGCCGTCTTTCGTTGCGATAGAATCGTCCCTGGGAACCACGCGACCCGACATAGTAGTACCTTCTACCACTGGTAGTACCACTGGCCGCAATCACCAGTCCCTCTCATTCAAGCACGCGTGTTCCATCCGCCTTTCGTCGTCCCCCACTGCCAAACCCGCCGTTTTCTCGCCATCTCTGCGAAAATCCGTCGGTGACAGGCTCCGTTCTCCCCGCCGCTCGTCTTCTCCTTCCCATCTCCAACCAAGAGCGACAATAATCCTGCCATCAGACGGCGAATTTGTAACATTTTTAAGAGAAGAGAAGTCCTTCGGGGAGGCCTATGGTCCTAGTTTGCATGGGCCCGTTCATTCGACGACAAGGAATCATTCTTCTGCCCGGAAAAGTTTGACTCGCACGCGGTTGAGCCAGCAAGTGCGTCCCACGGCAATCCAGCAGCCAATCGACGCCCGCCACGTGGCTGAGAATCAGTGGCCTGACGAGCAACTAGCACCCGCGATTCCGTGGTACGCGCGGCACCTCCTACTGCCGCATCATGCGGCGGAATCTGCGGAGCGCCACGCGGCGGAATTTGCGGTCAGGCAGCTTCCAGAAGGGGTGGAAGCAGAAAGGATTGAAGGTCTTGACGGGCAGCTGAACGGGCAGGAAACTGCGGGAAAAGCGCAGCAGCAGCATCATTGGCCGGACCTGTGGCAGCCTAGCCATGGCGAAGCGCACTTAGTAGACAGCAGCGGAAAGCGGTTGCTCGAGCCGCGCGCGTTATTAGTGGACGCGTTTGGTACATTGGTGGAAACGGCGGAGGAGGAAACTATGGTGTATGCCTCTATTGGAAGCAAGTTCGGCGTGGAGATTAGTCCCGAGGAGATCGGGAGGCGGTATGAAGCGGTGTACAGGAAGCCATGGCTGCAGTCTAAGCTGAGGTAAGCACGAGAATCATGTGCCTTCTTTTCGTCTACTGAGGTTAGCTTCTTTTTGTTTATTGAGTGCCGCGTTACAGGCCACAAAAAGTTTGTTACCTGTTAAGCATGGTTTACAGGAAGCCATGGCTGCATTCCAATCTTACGAAGCATAGACGTCGCAAACAGTTTCCCCTCGCTTGCTGCAGTCCACTGGCTGCTCCAATCCCTATATCGAGACAAGTCAAATCGCGTCAGCATCCCCCCTTCCCTCTTCTGAGTGGCTCTGTTGATTCGGGTATGAGGGCGGCGCTCTACACTACTGGGATCATATCATATCCGAATCCACCATCTGCTGCAAGTTGCAGCCTGCAACCCCAGCTACACTGGAATCAAACTCCCCCTTTTTGCCAACTGCGCCAAATAACTCTCAGGTACAAGGGAGTCGCTCTTCCTTTCTGCAACCCCAGCTACATCGAGATCCCTTCCCCCTCCCCCTTTGTCAAGTGTCCCAATTTTTCTCCATTCACCCCCCTGCGTGTTCACCCAGGTATGAAGGCGACGCGCTACCCTTCTGGCATCACATCATCTCAGAATCCACCGGCTGCAACAACCCCAGTTACAACCGAACCAACCCCCCCGCCCCTTGCTCAAGTGTACCTTCTTTTCGCCCCCCTGCGTGTTCACCCAGGTATGAGGGCGACGCTCTGCCCTTCTGGCATCACATCATCTCAGAATCCACGGGCTGCAACAACCCCAGTTACACTGAGGAGTTACACGGTTACTACATCAAGAAGCACGCCTGGCGCTTCACCGACCCCAACGCCCGCGAGGCTTTCGCTGCGATCCGCCGCGCGGGGATCAAGATAGCGCTCGTGTCAAACTTTGACACGCGCCTAAGGGACCTGCTCCGTGTCTTAAACTGCTACGATTGGTTCGACGCGATCGCGGTTTCGGCTGAGGTGGAGGCGGAGAAGCCGAGCCGGGAGATTTTCCACGCGGCGTGTGACATGCTGGGGGTGCTGCCGCATGAGGCTGTGCATGTGGGGGATAGCAAGAATAAGGACGTTGCTGGGGCGAAGAGGGCGGGGTGTGGCGCGGCGTGGCTCTGGAACGAAGACGTGCATTCCTTTACCGAGGTGAGAAGGAGGGTATGGGCCGATGGTGTTAGAACAAGATGGGTGCATTCCTTTACCGAGGTGCAGCGGCGTGGCTTTGGAGCGAAGATGTGCATTCCTTTACAGAGGTGAGAGGGAGGGGTGGTGAGAGAGCAAGGGCTGGAATAGCAGCAACATGGGGGAGAAATGGGTTTTTCCCGAGGTGAGGGGGTGGGGCCGGATGGTGAACGGATGCGAGAGGAAATTGCACCACCATGGGTTTGGAATCAAGAAACACGAGTCTATCTGAGTGGAGGGTGGGGTGTTGGGATATGCCCGTCAGTTTGATTCGTTGGTGTCTCCGACATATCTTTCCCGGCCTTGGTTCTGGAATGAGGATGCACAGCACACTCTTCCAATGATGTCTGGGGATGGAGTGATGGCAGCATGAGGTCGGTAGCAGGTTGTTGAGATAATTCTGATGGGAATATATTTTTCACGGCTGCTGTCTCTCCACCGTCCTCTTCCTCCCTCTTACCCCCCGTTTGCACTTTCTCTCCCATAGTGCTAATTCGTGTTTGTGGTATCCCTAATCGACAATACCCTTAATTGTTTGTGTTTGTGGTTCTCACCATTGCCTTGTTTGCAGGTGGCACAACGGCTAGGAATCTCAGTTCAGGCATCACCACCTGAGAGTGAGTTACTTCGCATTCTCTGAGGAGCATGGTTTTCATAGGAACAAATAGTCAAAGCACATGCATGGGTTTTCTGAGCCCACTAGAATGTTTTGGGGGTGTAGCGATCATTGTATATAGGGGGAGCTGTCGTGCACTAGGATTGGACATATGGATGGTTTGTGGTGTGTACTTTTTGGGTTGTGCATGTGATAGTTTTTGTTGTGTACACTTTGGTTTGTGTATATAATTAGATGCAGATCCAGTCAAAATGACTTTTCTTCACATGAAAACAAATAATATAGGTAGGCTGAGCAATGGGGTGGTGTGAGAACATAGAGGCTATGCACATGGGAATGGTGGTACCTATCAATCACCAAACACAGCAATAATCGTGTGAGCATGTCTACCTTTTTGGAATGTAACGAGTTATCTTATATCATCCGCATGGCGTGGCAACCTGTATGCCGACCGACGTTCGTCGCCAATTAGCCAAGCAGCCGGCCGGCATCATCGTGCGAGCCCGAGCAGAGAAACGCGGATTTCGTGTTTTGCCGCGGATCCTGCGCGACTCCCTCCATCCTTCGTGCCCATTTTCCGTGGCGCCCAATGTTGATTTGAGAAATGTGGGCCGAGCCGCATCCGCGCTCCGCAACCAAATTTCATCGTAACAAATTCCTGAGGGCAGGACATAGAGCACCCACCCACCCACATTGCCAGCGAGATGTACCTGATGGCTGTGCGTGTGTCCCTCCTGCCATCGTGACTCATGAGTGACTCGTGAGTGACTCGTGACGTGAGCCGTGAGGTCGTGCATGGTGAGGTGACAGCCAAGGTATCTAGCCAGCAAATAGTCAACCCACCGCTACAGCATTCTTTCTTGACTGGAATTATGGCACGTTTCCCGTGCTATGCGCAGTCAAAGCTGCGTAGTTACTCGGAAGCTGACCTGTCGTTAGGGTTAATTCGCTAGCTGTCATCGATGGCTCCCATCCTCCTGACGCGAACATCAACTTAGTGGTAAGCTACGCTTACTCACGTATCGTGCCGCTACTACTAGATGATTGCAGTCACAGCGAGATATTGTAATGCTATCGCCGGGAGCTTATTCGGGAAGGCGTTCGCGTTGAACGCAACATATGACACTGACTCACAATAGCTACGCAACGCCGTATACCACGGACCTGCTACTAACGCAACGCAGTGTACCACGGACCTGCTAACGCACCATATGACACTGACTCACAATATATGATGTATTAACGGGTCTGATCTAGCATCCGAATCGAACAGGACCACGCTGTACCCGCCCAAAGAGTATTTGAACCGAGGAGAAAGGTCGGAGTTAGGGGCATATCGTAAGTAGGGAAAGGGACAGCAGCGGCAGCAGCAGCAGCAGCGACAGGGGGAAGAGGAAGCGCTATCGGCCGCTCCGTCTACTTCTGACCCTTGAACGGAATAGATCAGCAAACGACAAGAGAAAGCACGATGCTGACTCAGCTGCCACGTCAGCATGTAGAGAGCTGCCGCGGTGGAGACGGTTCTAGAAAAGCTCCGTCTTCTACAGGTCGCCCGATTCTCCATCGGCGTTGGAGTCCGTTTACGTTTCCGTCACGACCCCTCAGTCACCGTCAAAGTCCGTTAACTTTTCCGTCAAGTGCCATCGTTCTCCTGTCACTCTTGCTTCTCCACGACCTCTCTCCCCGTGCCTACCGCCAACCCTGCCGCTCTTTCTTCGTCGCCGCCGCCTCACAAGCCAGCGAAAATAACGACGGACCGGTGGTAACATTTTCGCTAGCATTTTCGCAATCATTGTCACGCGTCACAGTTACGGGGGAACGACCTAGCCGGATCGGAACTAGCGGCGAGGCGGATGGGGGAAATACCGAGACATCTCGAATCACAGTTGCGGGAGCCTGGCCGGCGGACTCGGGGCAGGCGCATATTAGTCCGCCGCCTGGGGGAAAAATGCCAGGCGCGGGGGTCACCCCCCCTGCGCGGAAGACTCCGCTTACGCCGACGAGTCCCTTCGCGCGGAAGAGTCCGCCTGCGGCGGGGAAAACAGTTCCCACTCCCGCGAGAGACGCAAGGGCGGCAACGGGCGGAAAGTCGGCGCGACAAGGCTCCGCCCCGAATAAGACAAGGGATGGCGACGCAGCAGCAGCTAACTCGAAGCGCGCCGCCGCCGGCGCGAGAAGGCGGTCGCCGCCGGATGCTGCTAGGAGAGCTTCGAGTCCAAGTCCTTCGAGTAACGGCCTGAGACCTCCGAGCAATAGGAGTCTAGTTTTGAGGCCTAAGACTAACGGCCTAAGACCTCCGAGCAGCAGTGGCCCGAGCAGTCGAAGGAACAGCAGCGGCCCAAGCAGTAGGAGGAACGGCGCCGTGTCTGGGAGCCCTGGTGCTAGTAGGAGCAGCAGCGGCCTAAGACCTTCAAACAGCAGCGGCCCGAGGAGCCAGAGGAGCAGCAGCCCTTCTGGGAGCGCCGGTGCTAGTAGGAGCAGCGGGGGCTCGAGACGTTCTAACGGCGGCAGCGGCTCGAGCAAGGATAGGACGGGCAGACGCACCGCGACGGGGGCTCGACCCGTGCCGCGCGTGGTTCCGCCGCCCATTCAGTTCGTGCGGCTGACGACAGCAAACAACGCGACGTGCCTGGACGGCAGGTGGGTGGCTGTTGGGGGGCAGAGTGGGTGTCTGGTGGGCGGCAAAGTGGGCGGCTGGGTGGATGGCATACTGTGTGGTTGGACGGAGAGTGAATAGCTGGTGGGCGGCAGAGTGGGTGGCTGGATAGCAGCGGCATTTTAGTAACTCACTTTGAAGCGATGGGTAAGTTACCTAGATTTATGATTGTACCACCCTCCTCCTCCCTTCCGTCCTCCCCCTTCCGCCTTCCGTCCTCCCCCTTCCGCCTTCCGTCCTCCCCTTTCCTCCTTCCGTCCTCCCCCGTCCTCCTTCCGTCCTCCCCCTTCCTCCTTCCGTCCTCCCCCTTCTTCCGGCCTCCCCCTTCTTCCTTCCGTCCTCCCCCTTCCTCCTTCCGTCCTCCCCCTTCCGCCTTCCGTCCTCCCCCTTCCTCCTTCCGTCCTCCCCCTTCCTCCTTCCGGCCTCCCCTTCCTCCTTCCGGCCTCCCCCTTCCTCCTTCCGTCCTCCCCCTTCCTCCTTCCGTCCTCCCCCTTCCTCCTTCCGTCCTCCCCCTTCCTCCTTCCGGCCTCCCCCTTCCTCCTTCCGTCCTCCCCCTTCCTCCTTCCGTCCTCCCCCTTCCTCCTTCCGTCCTCCCCCTTCCTCCTTCCGTCCTCCCCCTTCCTCCTTCCGTCCTCCCCCTTCCTCCTTCCGTCCTCCCCCTTCCTCCTTCCGTCCTCCCCCTTCCTCCTTCCGGCCTCCCCCTTCCTCCTTCCGTCCTCCCCTTCCTCCTTCCGTCCTCCCCCTTCCTCCTTCCGTCCTCCCCCTTCCTCCTTCCGTCCTCCCCCTTCCTCCTTCCGTCCTCCCCCTTCCTCCTTCCGTCCTCCCCCTTCCTCCTTCCGTCCTCCCCCTTCCTCCTTCCGTTCCCCCCATCTCCTCTTTCATCCTTTCCCTGCCAAGTAACACGTATATTGTCAATGTAAAAACCGCGTGTAATGAGTCTGCTTTTGAGTCGACTCAAAAGCATCTCCTCTCTCATCCTTTCCCTGCCCATACCTCCCGCCCCTCACTCCCCTTCACCTCCCCCCTTTCCCCTTCGCCTCCCCCCTTTCCCCTTCACCTCCCGCCTCTCTCGCCCCCTCACTACTCGCCTCCCTCTCCCCCTCACTACTCGCCTCTCTCTCCCCCTCACTGCTCGCCTCTCTCTCCCCCTCACTGCTCTCCTCTCTCTTCCCCCCACCATCCCCCTTTCTCCCCCTTCATCACAGCACCCCAGCATACTACTACCGGCCAGGATACGGACTCGGAGCGAACAGATGGCTCAACCGCTCCCTCCTCTCCTCCCCCGCGCTCCCCTCCTCCCTGATCTCCTGCTGTCGGTTCCCTTCCATCCATGCCGCCCCCTGGCATACTACTACCGGCCAGGATACGGACTCGGAGCGAACAGATGGCTCAACCGCTCCCTCCTCTCCTCCCCCGCGCTCCCCTCCTCCCTGATCTCCTGCTGTCGGTTCCCTTCCATCCATGCCGCCCCCTGGCATACTACTACCGGCCAGGATACGGACTCGGAGCGAACAGATGGCTCAACCGCTCCCTCCTCTCCTCCCCCGCGCTCCCCTCCTCCCTGATCTCCTGCTGTCGGTTCCCTTCCATCCATGCCGCCCCCTGGCATACTACTACCGGCCAGGATACGGACTCGGAACGAACAGATGGCTTATATCCCCCGCCTTCCCCCCCTTCTCTCCTCCCTCCCTCATTCCCTCTTCCCTCCTTGCCTCCCTCCTCGCCTCCCTCCTCGCCTCCCTCCCACATTCCCTGTGGTCTCTTCCCCTTCACCACAGCCCCCCGGCATACTACTACCGGCCGGGATACGGGATCGGAACGAACAGATGGCTGATCTACCTTATGGTGAGTACAAGCTGGCATGGTAAGAGGTGTCTCGTTATAAGTTTTGAGGCGCCTCAAAATGGTAAGAGGTGTCTCGATATAAGTTTTGAGGCGCCTCAAAATGGTAAGAGGTGTCTCGTTATAAGTTTTGAGGCACCTCAAAACTAGACTCCTATCACGCGGATTTTGAGGCACCTCAAAATGGTAAGAGGTGTCTCGTTATAAGACTCAGCACCGCTGGCTAGGATACGAAATCGGAACGAGCGGATGGCTCATATAACCCCATGGTGAGTACAAGCAAGCACATCAAATTTCAATGATTTTGGAATCGATAGGCAAGAGAGATCCACCAGAAACTGTGCCTAGAAGAAATGTGTGTTTCGACATATATATCTCACATGATGTTATTCACTGTGCCTATCGTTTACGTCTTTCTCCCTCCCTTACCCGCATTCCCATCACCCAGCGCGGTCGCTCGTGTCTCTCCCCCAGCCAGTGCCGCTTGAGCGCGCTTTTGAGTGGGGGACAGTCTGGGCGGGTGAGACTGCCAGTACACGGGCAGCACCCAAAAGCCGCGTGAGCGCGCTGACACGAGCTCACCCCTCTCTGTAGCCACCTGCAGAAAGACACCCAGAACAGACACGAGCTCCCCCAGCCAGTGCCGACACCCACCCATCCCAACGCTCCTCCCTTCCCCTACTCCCCTTCACCCCTGCCCCCTTCTCCAACTCCCAGGCCGGTCGCTGGTGTCTGTCCCCCAGCCAGTGCCGCCTGAGAGCGGATTCAGAGCAGGGGTCAACCAAGTACTGGCGTGGCACGTACAGTCGTCAAACCCTTCCTCCCCTTCCCTCCCATCCCTCCCGCTCTCTCCCTTCCCTGTAGGGCGGTCGCTGGTGTCTGTCCCCCAGCCAGTGCCGCCTGAGAGCGGATTCAGAGCTGGGGTCAACCAAGTACTGGCCCAAACCGGGGGATCCGGGCTTCGAAAATACAGTGAGTGCTGCTGTCTTTCTGCTCTTGGGATGCAAATCTCTTCTCAATCAGAGCTGGGGTGAACCAAGTGCTAGCCCAAGCTGGGGGATCCGGGCTTAAAAAATATAGTTAGTGCTAATCGTTTGTTGCTGGATTATGCAAAACCTCTTCTCAACCAGAGCTGGGGTGGGCTAAGCCCTGGGCCAAACCAGGGGATCTGGGATTTGAAAACGGCGTGAGTGTGTGTCTGCTCCTGGAATGCGGGCCTCTTCTCAACTCGACGTCAACCAAGAAGAGGCTCTTGGAGTACTGGCCCGGGCTTCGAAAATACAGTGAGCGCTGCTGTCTTTCTGCTCTTGGGATGTGACCGCAGCTCCGGATCCGGGATTTGAAAACAGCGTGAAGGTGTGTCTGCTCTTGGAATGTGACTCTTTTCGCAACTAGAGCTGGGGTCAACCAAGTGCTGGCCCAAGCTGGGGGATCCGGGCTTTGAAAACACAGTGAGTGCTGTCGTTTTACTGTTGGAATATGCGCATGTCTTAACCTATTGCATACACATCAATAGAAACTTTATTCAATCTTATGTACCATCCTTTACCCCTCAAGTTCCCCCGATCTGATTGCTTATACGGGAATGGGTTCTGGGGATGCTGAGCAGAGAATCAAAGGAATATCCGCTGTTCTGTTTTACTCATGGAACACTGTAGTTGCCCCCAATCAGATTGCTAATATGGGAGCGGGGTTCCAGGGCATGCTGAGCGGTGACTCTACCGAAAATCCGCTATTCTACTCGTGGAACACTGTGGTTGTGCTGTACTGCGATGGGGTGCACGTGCTGTACTGTACTGTGCTGCATTGTACTGTACAACCCTAAAACGTTGAGTCTCCCTCCCTCCCCCAATCAGATTGCTAATATGGGAGCTGGGTTCCAGGGGATGCTGAGCGGCGACTCTACCGAAAATCCGCTATTCTACTCGTGGAACACTGTGGTTGTGCTGTACTGCGACGGGGGCGTGTTCGCTGGCGTGAAAGGGAAAGCATTTTACGACCACACGGACCCGTACTACCTCTCTGGTCGACCGATATTGAATGCAGTATTGGGAGGTGCGTTAATCCATGTACGCCACGGAGGCCGCAATGTACATCACGTTCCAATTTTGGCCGCGGGTTTTAAAGCCCAAGTCTCAAGATGCAGGGGCTTTCAAGTCTCAGAGGGTTGAAAGTAGGTAGGTGAGTTTTTTGCGATTTGTGATTGGAGGGTGGTTTTTCGTGCACCAATCAAAACATCCCCAACTCTCACCTACCACCAAGCAAGTCTCTGAGACTTGCTTGGCCTTGCAACTTGGGACTCGGGCTTTAACACAATGTACATTTCCCTGGTCCCGCAATGTACACTGCCGGAAACAGAGGCTGCTTTATGTCTGCCACGTTTCTGGAATCTGGGCTAGAAACCATACCATTTGACAGTTGCTGTCAACTCACCATCTGAGCTCATACAATAGAGCATACCGCACACAAAACCACCACACCACACCACACCACACCACACCACACCACACCATACCACACCATCTGGTCTGGTAGCCATACCATTTCACAGTTGCTGTTAACTCACCATCTGAGTTTATACAACATAGAGCATACCACTCACCACACCACACCACCTTCCAATAAAAGTTGAATTGGTTTTTGAGAATTCTCAAAACCAATTCAACTCACCATCTGAGCTTATACAACATAGAACATACCACACACCAGACCACCACACTAACCAATATAACAGGCTCATTACAGCACACATACCACTTAGCCCATCGCCTCCCCGCTTCCCCCTCCCCCCTCCCCCCTCCCCCCTCCCCCCCTCCCCCCCATCTCTATCGTACCTCCCAGATGGCAACTCCAAGCGTATGAAGCAGGCGGGTTCTGTCCTCCTTACAGGCTGCTCCGCCAGCGCTTAAGCAATCTCCGTGGCATGCCTTCCGATACTGAGCTGTACTCTTCTTTCTATTCCCTCCGCTTCTCCCCATGTATATATCCCCTCCAGATCTCAACTCCAAGGATATGTTGAAGCAGGCGAATTCTGTCCCCCTTACAAGCTGCTCTGCTGGTTCTCCCGTTGCCCCTCCTCTCCCCCCTTCCTCCCTCCACCCTATATCGTTTTCTGTTTCAGATCTCAACTCCAAGGGTATGAAGCAGGCGGATTCTGTACTCCTTACAGGCTGCTCCGCTGGCGCTATAGCGGTGTCCATGGCATGCGATGCCATGGCGCAGTTCCACTTCCCTCGCACGGCCAAAGTCAAATGCCTCATGGACGCTGGCTTCTTCATGGGTATGTATGCATGGATGCTTCTGGGTATGTGTGCATGCCTACAGTCATTACATGTGCATGGTTATGGCTATGGGAGTGTTGGCTTCTGCACATGGCGAAAACGCGTATGGTTATGGGTATGGGAGTGTTGGCTTCTGCACATGGCTGCTGCTGCTGATGATGGTGGTGATTTGAGCATTCCCTCTTTCCTCCCTTCTTTCTACCCCCTCCCCTCCCCCACCCACGCCCCCAGACACCCCAGACATCAGCAAGCAGTGGAGCTTTAGGGGCATTGTGCAGCGCATGTTCCGATTCCACTCCATGACTGCTGCTGCAGACGATGACTGTCGCACCGGTAAGTAACTTGCTCTAGACTGGTGAGTATACTAGCTTTACGTTTCAATTCCACTCCACGACTGCTGTTGCTGACGACGACTGTAGCACCGGTACGTTTTAGACATTTTGCCTTCCCTGCTTCCCTTGATCTCCACATACCATACGCCCCTTCAGCAGAATACTGTTCCTTTCCACCTCCCTCTCGTTTTCCCGTTCTCTTCTGATTCCTGTGCTCCTGTAAACAGCTTTCTGGGGAAGCAAGGAGTTGTGGCGCTGCTTCTTCCCACAGTACAACCTCCAATATGTATCGACACCCATGTTCATTGTGCAAAGCACTTATGATAAAGTTGGAGCGGGTATTTCATTCTCCCCGCCTCGACTCCCAGACAAGAATACACTCGACAGGTGCATGACTCCCGGGCTCAATAGTGTCTGCTCCGCTCCTGTGCTACATGCCTTGGAGCAATATCGGCATACGCTACGTACAGCGATAAACGTCGTGGTTGCATCGGCTAAAGCAGCTCATAGGAGCAAGTCTGCTTTTATTGTGACGGATGATGTACATTGCATGGCCGCATATCCGGATTGGAATAAACGGGTGGGGCGGAATGGGATGACCCTAGCTATGGCTATAAAACGCTGGTGGACATTGCCGTAGCACCTAATGTAATGTACTAATGCTGATTGTAACTTATATTGTATTCATTACTGATCAACAGGAAACTTGTAAGTTGGCCACTTGGTGTGCAAGTAGAAAGCACATGGAAAACTGGTTTTGGGAAATGGTGGTTGTAAATGATGTGATCTATAATCCGTACACACTGAAGATGGGAGTCTCCCAGGTTTGCAGTATCGAGGATTTGTTGAACGTAGGTCGTATTTCTGCGATCGCGGAACAAACAGCTCTTGAAATCAAGATGCAGGAGCAAAATCCAGGAGATTGTCAAAAAGAGCAGCTGCAAACGAGCAGCTATCGTTCGGGATTGTCATCTTCACCTGACAGCCACGAGATTCGCTCACACTCGTTATCGTGCCTACAGAATTGCGCCCCAAGGATGCCAGGAATAGGTCTTCAATCCATCAATCCCTGCCAAAACCATTGGCTCGGCAACTTCGGTGGGGAATACAGTGCTGCAGGGGTCAGGTTTGGGGAAATAATTGCGGGCTGACCCTCGATCCGAAGCAAAATCTCGCGTTTTCGATAGGTGCTCTGATGTAATCTGCACTTGCCTTTTTTGCCTGCAGAACGCAGCCAGTGGGAATTGGCAGTAGTGCCGCTGGGAGAAAAATCCAATCCGAGAGGAAGGAGAAAAGCAGGAGGGGAGCAAGAAAGAAAGAAAGCAAGCTAGTGGATTCCAGCTCTAGTAAGGGAGCTCAGACTGAGTTCTCTGCTTGCTGCTCTACTAGTTTCCACAATTCTGGTCTACAGTGAGCTTTTGAGCCGACTCTATCGCATTTCTGGTCTACAGTGATGGATGCGAACGTTTCTTTTCCCTGGCACTCAGAATGGTGGTTTCACCGCCGTCGCTCTAGTCGTCAAGCTTCTCCGTCTGTCGCACGGAATCGCCGAGCGACTATCCTTATCCTGCTTCTAGCCCTCACTGTCGCACGTCTTCGCCCGCTCTGCGTGTGCGACGCTGCCAGCTACGACCTCCGTGAATTCAGGGACGATGTGGACAAAAATCAGAATCAAATCTTCTTCACGCCTCGAGCAGGTTTCGCGTCCGACATTTCCAAGGAGCGTGAACAAGAAGTCAAGATTCAGGAGAAAATCCAGGAGATTTCAGCAGCAACGGATGGCACCATAGGTGGAAATCTGGCAGAGTCTTTAACGAGGTGGGGAGGTGAGGGGAGGCCAGGCGAAGACAGCCGGGGAGAGGGAGGAGGGTGGGGAAGGAAGGTTCCTGACATGGCTGGTGTTGACGGCTTTGTCAATGGCATTAGAGAGGTGGGAAAGTCAGACAGGAGATCAATACATGGCAGTACAGAGGAGGTCAATGACGACTACGGCAGGCTTCGTCTGGAGATGGCTGGTGGTGGCAGCTTTGGAGTTGGAGAGGTGGAAGAGCCAGGCGGGAGATCAAGACATGGCGGTACAGAGGAGATGAATGTCGGCAACGGCATGCTTCGTCCGGATATGGCGTCGGCTGGTGTTGGCGGCATTGGCGTTGGAGAGGTGGAAAGGCCAGGCGGGAGATCCAGGCATGGGAGTACGGAAGAGGTCAATGCCGATCATGGCGGGCTTCTCCCAGAGACGGAAATTCTCACAGTCTGCACCCCACAAGGTGAGACCTCGAGATTTCCCCTTCCAAGATTTGTTCTGGAGTTACATGTAGAATTACATTACTCATTTCGAATTACCCCCCCCTAAAGGCTTGTCTCAAGCGCTGCATCTCCACCGCATCTCACCGCATCCCACTCCGTTTCTTTCTTTTTCTGACTCACTTTCAACCCATCAAACGCATCCCCCCCCTCTGCATCCCACTGCATCGCACGCAACCCATCTCACCGCATTGCACCCCTCCCTATCTGCACTTACTGCCAGGTCGTGCTCGAGTGCGCATCTCCCCTACCCGCATGAGGCGGACATGGAGAGAATGGAATGCCATTGAAATGCGTTCTTCAACCCCATCCCACCAGACCGCACTGCACCCCACCCCACCCCCACCCCCACCCCATCCCACCCCTTCCTGTTCCGTTCTGTGTCCCATCCCAGGCCATGCTCGAGTGCGCATCTCCCCAACCCGTATGGGCCAGACGTGGAGAGGATGTGGCTCCTCTCTAGGATGTGTCCTTCTTCAACCCCATCCCAACCCATTGCACTCCTCCGCATCTGTTCCTATTGCCAGGCCATGCTCGAGTGCGCATCTCCCCAACCCGTATGGGCCAGACGTGGAGAGGATGTGGCTCCTCTCTAGGATGTGTCCTTCTTCAACCCCATCCCAACCCATTGCACTCCTCCGCATCTGTTCCTATTGCCAGGCCATGCTCGAGTGCGCATCTCCCCAACCCGTATGGGCCAGACGAGGAGAGGATGTGGCTCCTCTCTAGGATGTGTCCTTCTTCAACCCCATCCCACCCCATTTCACTCCTCCGCATCTGTTCCTATTGCCAGGCCATGCTCGAGTGCGCATCTCCCCAACCCGTATGGGCCAGACGAGGAGAGGATGTGGCTCCTCTCTAGGATGTGTCCTTCTTCAACCCCATCCCACCCCATTGCACTCCTCCGCATCTGTTCCTATTGCCAGGCCATGCTCGAGTGCGCATCTCCCCAACCCGTATGGGCCAGACGAGGAGAGGATGTGGCTCCTCTCTAGGATGTGTCCTTCTTCAACCCCATCCCACCCCATTGCACTCCTCCGCATCTGTTCCTATTGCCAGGCCATGCTCGAGTGCGCATCTCCCCAACCCGTATGGGCCAGACGAGGAGAGGATGTGGCTCCTCTCTAGGATGTGTCCTTCTTCAACCCCATCCCACCCCATTGCACTCCTCCGCATCTGTTCCTATTGCCAGGCCATGCTCGAGTGCGCATCTCCCCAACCCGTATGGGCCAGACGAGGAGAGGATGTGGCTCCTCTCTAGGATGTGTCCTTCTTCAACCCCATCCCACCCCATTGCACTCCTCCGCATCTGTTCCTATTGCCAGGCCATGCTCGAGTGCGCATCTCCCCAACCCGCATGGGGCAGACGTGGAGAGGATGTGGCTCCTCTCTAGGATGTGTCCTTCTTCAACCCCATCCCTTCCCATTGCACTCCTCCGCATCTGTTCCTATTGCCAGGCCATGCTCGAGTGCGCATCTCCCCAACCCGTATGGGCCAGACGTGGAGAGGATGTGGCTCCTCTCTAGGATGTGTCCTTCTTCAACCCCATCCCACCCCATTGCACTCCTCCGCATCTGTTCCTATTGCCAGGCCATGCTCGAGTGCGCATCTCCCCAACCCGCATGGGGCAGACGTGGAGAGGATGTGGCTCCTCTCTAGGATGTGTCCTTCTTCAACCCCATCCCTTCCCATTGCACTCCTCCGCATCTGTTCCTATTGCCAGGCCATGCTCGAGTGCGCATCTCCCCAACCCGTATGGGCCAGACGTGGAGAGGATGTGGCTCCTCTCTAGGATGTGTCCTTCTTCAACCCCATCCCACCCCATTGCACTCCTCCGCATCTGTTCCTATTGCCAGGCCATGCTCGAGTGCGCATCTCCCCAACCCGCATGGGGCAGACGTGGAGAGGATGTGGCTCCTCTCTAGGATGTGTCCTTCTTCAACCCCATCCCTTCCCATTGCACTCCTCCGCATCTGTTCCTATTGCCAGGCCATGCTCGAGTGCGCATCTCCCCAACCCGTATGGGCCAGACGAGGAGAGGATGTGGCTCCTCTCTAGGATGTGTCCTTCTTCAACCCCATCCCACCCCATTTCACTCCTCCGCATCTGTTCCTATTGCCAGGCCATGCTCGAGTGCGCATCTCCCCAACCCGTATGGGCCAGACGAGGAGAGGATGTGGCTCCTCTCTAGGATGTGTCCTTCTTCAACCCCATCCCACCCCATTGCACTCCTCCGCATCTGTTCCTATTGCCAGGCCATGCTCGAGTGCGCATCTCCCCAACCCGTATGGGCCAGACGAGGAGAGGATGTGGCTCCTCTCTAGGATGTGTCCTTCTTCAACCCCATCCCACCCCATTTCACTCCTCCGCATCTGTTCCTATTGCCAGGCCATGCTCGAGTGCGCATCTCCCCAACCCGTATGGGCCAGACGAGGAGAGGATGTGGCTCCTCTCTAGGATGTGTCCTTCTTCAACCCCATCCCACCCCATTGCACTCCTCCGCATCTGTTCCTATTGCCAGGCCATGCTCGAGTGCGCATCTCCCCAACCCGTATGGGCCAGACGAGGAGAGGATGTGGCTCCTCTCTAGGATGTGTCCTTCTTCAACCCCATCCCACCCCATTGCACTCCTCCGCATCTGTTCCTATTGCCAGGCCATGCTCGAGTGCGCATCTCCCCAACCCGTATGGGCCAGACGAGGAGAGGATGTGGCTCCTCTCTAGGATGTGTCCTTCTTCAACCCCATCCCACCCCATTGCACTCCTCCGCATCTGTTCCTATTGCCAGGCCATGCTCGAGTGCGCATCTCCCCAACCCGCATGGGGCAGACGTGGAGAGGATGTGGCTCCTCTCTAGGATGTGTCCTTCTTCAACCCCATCCCTTCCCATTGCACTCCTCCGCATCTGTTCCTATTGCCAGGCCATGCTCGAGTGCGCATCTCCCCAACCCGTATGGGCCAGACGTGGAGAGGATGTGGCTCCTCTCTAGGATGTGTCCTTCTTCAACCCCATCCCACCCCATTGCACTCCTCCGCATCTGTTCCTATTGCCAGGCCATGCTCGAGTGCGCATCTCCCCAACCCGCATGGGGCAGACGTGGAGAGGATGTGGCTCCTCTCTAGGATGTGTCCTTCTTCAACCCCATCCCTTCCCATTGCACTCCTCCGCATCTGTTCCTATTGCCAGGCCATGCTCGAGTGCGCATCTCCCCAACCCGTATGGGCCAGACGTGGAGAGGATGTGGCTCCTCTCTAGGATGTGTCCTTCTTCAACCCCATCCCACCCCATTGCACTCCTCCGCATCTGTTCCTATTGCCAGGCCATGCTCGAGTGCGCATCTCCCCAACCCGCATGGGGCAGACGTGGAGAGGATGTGGCTCCTCTCTAGGATGTGTC